TCAACGTTTGAGTGCTTCCTGTATCAACCCAATAAGTATTTAAGGTACCTCGTGAAAGAAAACAAACAATAGACCACAGATTATATAAATGTATATTGTCTCCTGAGATGTACCCGTCATACCATTTCTGAACATCATTAGTTTTTAAGTTTTCACGCATTGACAGTAATAGTTCTACCTCATCAGGCGTGAATCCAAACTTATCTACGTAAAGAGGGAATTGGCTTTCTTGATGCAAAGGGTAAACAATGATATTATTTAACCCTGATAAAAGCCCTGATTTTGTGATCCGCAATACACCGACCAACATTGCCTTCGCAATATTTTTATCATTGCTCTAATAATCAATCAGAAGTAGAGATTACTTGTTTGATTATAAATAATTATTGTGGTAATAAAAGAAGGAAATTGATATTTCCACCCCCTTTTTTGATAATGCCACACCCCGCTGATTATTCTAATTTTCGAACTTTGATCGAAGATATCTTGACATTTACCTGACCAAATTCGACAAACTTTTTCTTTGAGCTCTGCAATTTTTCAATTAAAATAAGAAAAAGCACAACAAATTTGGCCAGGTGGTCGTCGAGATGTCTTCGATCAAAGTATTGTAAATTTAACGCTTATAGCAGATTGTTGTGAAACTTTGATCGAAAATATCTCGACATCCACCTGACTAAATTCGTCGAGCTTTCTATTTTTTTTTTTTTTTTTTTTTTTTTTTTTTTATAATTCTACAAATTTCTACAATTAAATAAAGAAAGTTCATCGAATTTGGTTAGGTGGTCGTCGAGATATCTTCGACCAAAGATTTTGTAAATTTTGCAAATTGTTGTGATACTTTGATAGAAGATATCTCGACATCCACCTGACTAAATTCGATGAGCTTTTTTTTTTCTTTGGATTCTATAGATTTCCACTATTAAAAAAAAGAAAGCTCATCGAATTTAGTCAGGTAGTTGTCGAAATATCCTCGACCAAAGATTTTGTAAATTCTGAATGTCTAAGTAGAAGCCGCATTGTAAAACTTTGATCGAAGGTATCTCAACATCTACCTGATCAAATTCGATGAACTTTTTTTTTTTTAAATTCTAAAGATTTCTACAATTAAAATAAGAAACGTTCAACGAATTTGATCAGATGTATGTCAGATATCTTCAATTAAGTTTTTTAAAAAAATTAAAAATTTAATATGATCGGCGAGGGTGTGACATTATCAAAAAAGGGTGTGGAAATATCAATTTCCTAAAAGAAGAGTACAAATCGAACCTACCTTTAATAATGATGAGAACATGGTTTTAAAAAATCACTTGCAATTTCATAATATCCTTTATTATAGGCATATTCCATTGGGGAGTCATATTCATCAATTAGTACAATACATTTTTTTTTATAATGATTTCGCAGTTATTCGGAAAGTTCCTGCAATGCAAAACTCAATTCTGATACAGGATAAGTTTGATCTCTCTCGAGAATACGTTGGTATCTTTTTTGTGCATAGGGATCTAAATGGTTAATAAGATAATGATGTTTTTCGTAAATCTCAGCTACAAGTACTCTTAGTTGTGTTATCATATCATTCCATGTTCCAGGCATTGAATCCTATTTTGTGGTGGACTGAGTAAGAAAAAAAAATTATCATAACAAATGAAAATTATCATTAATACAAGCCTTAAGTGAAATATAGATGACAGGGTACTGGGCAAAATGTTTTTTCATAATTTCTATTTCAGCTGAAATTTTTAATTTTTCAAAAAGCTTTTTACGGATTATTTTTTCATCTTGAGACTGTAATATTTCAAAGAAACGGTGCAGCATGGATAGATTTGTTGACTTTCCAAATCGACGAGGACGAAGAACAAGCGATACTAAATCTGAACTCTTAATAAACTCTTTTATAAGCATCGACTTATCAACAAAGGTGAGACGATCGTCTATAATGGATTCAAAATTATCTCTTCCAATAGCAACAGTTGCACCAAAAACAACACGAGCATTATTAACTATATAAAAAATAAAAGTTAATTTGTAAAGTGCGAGACTAAAAATACCAGAAAGCAAAAAGAAATTAATATTAACGAGTCTTAGTATACGGTTCAAAATCAGAACCTAACATGGCAATCTCCTGACTTTCCTCCATGAAAAAAAAGTAACATTTATTTATATACCCACATGACAGGTGATTATCAATCATAATCGACTTTATCTACTGAAACTAGTAATCTACTGAAAACTAGTATTACTGTTAGACGTCACATTTAAAAAATGACGTACATGGCTTCAAAATTGTAAATTAAAGTACTTCAAATTTTAATCGGTATCGGTATGATTTTATAGATAAAAAAAAAAACTTGCAACGCAAATCAAATTATTTTTATTAATTATTGTATTTAACTTCTATTACGATTGTTACCACATGTTGAAGATTAAACAATTGCTAAGCATTACATTACGCAATCTAAAAACCACCGGATAAAAAGTGGTCTAATAAAACTTAATGATTTTTGCATGTATCTCGGCGAATACAACCACAACGAAAAGTACAAAGAGCATTGTTCTTATGACAAGAACAACTCTACTTTTACAATTTGTTTTGTTACAATGACAGGCATAATTTTTCTTTAAGCCTTGTTCAGTTTCTTGGTTGGACGTTTCATTTATGATATTTTTAAGTGGTCTTAGTGGTCGGGTTAAGTTTTGTTGAGCACCAGCATTTCATGAAGCTCAGGCCAGTGTAAATCTGCAGCACTAAAAGTAAAAAATATCAATTCCTGAGAACCCAATTGTTTTATCATATCTGATAATTCTGAACGTTTTTTTATCCAAAACTGCTGACTTCCCTGTAAACCTTCACTATATCGTATTACTCTATCAGCTAGATTATTGTCTGCTTGAACCATTTCCAATACATCTGCATTAGTAAGTTGGTTTTCAGTAAAATTTTGCTTAACAAATATTCATCCTTCACTTAATGCACACCAACGCATTAAAGAATTTAGAGCAAAATATCTCCACCTAGGGTGCTGTGCAAACCTTCCATCTCTATATTTTAACAAATGTTTAAAATATTCGGCAGGTTTGATATCTCTTATACGTTCAGCACGCAGATCTGCTTGTCCAGTTGGGTATAGAGTTAGGAAAGCATGTGCTATATATCCTACTGTTTTAAATTCGTCAATTGGATTATTATTAATATTTGGCCATTTGACAATAGCATCTTCTATAAATTCAGAATCACTTTGTATATGACCAAGAGTATTTCCAATAACAAGATTTTCATTACAACTGGGAGAAGAAACTGGAACAAATAATCTATTTATTATATTTTCTTCTTCATCTTGTTGTTCAGTTATATTTATATGCTTGTTATTAGAATCAATAGGTTCATTATTATGAAGATTTGGTATATAATCTAGAGCATTGTCATTTTCAGGTAAAGATTGAAACACTTCATTATCAATAGTTATATCAGCATAGTAAGGATTATTTTCCTTTAACCATTGTAATGTATAAGCAACTTTTCTTCGGCGAACATTAAAATCTTTAAATACAGATTCATCTTTAGATTGCCATCGAACAACCATAATTTCTAGAGATAAAGGATGATGTGGAAGGCGAGTTGTAAATTTTAAAACATCTTGGAAAAATTAATAATATTTCCATGATATCTGTATTGTCCACCACGAAGGTTGTACACTGACATAACAGGGAACACTTGGGCAATTAATATCTCTTCCATCTCAGTTAAGCCCTGTAACTCTATAGGTACGCCTCCTGGATCTATATTATTGTTAGATGAGAATTTTTTTGTTTGCCCCTTTTCATTATAACAGCGTTGGCATTCATTGTTTCTAACCAAATTGATTGATAGAAAAATTTCATTACATATGAGACAATGTGAATTTTTAAGTTTAATCATACAATTGCGAAATTTTGTTAGAACTTGTTGATCTTGCTATATTAATTCTTGAATACTATGAAGCCATTGAGTTTGGCTAGTATTTAAGATTTCTTGTTCTTGGGTACTATTGTTTTCTTGAGTTTGACTATTATCAAAAGTTTCTTGTCTGTAAGTATCTTTTCTTCTTTGAGTGTCACATTCTGCTGAAGTTTCTCTTTTTCGACATAACTGATCTCTTATACGTCTTCTTTCTAGACAAGCATTTCGTTCTTCTGAGGTTTCTCGCTCATTATTTTGGTGCATTATTAAAATTTTAATTGTATTAAAATAAAACATGTAATAAAACTAAAATAAGTAATAAAGTGAAACGCGTAATAAAAGAGAAACGTGTAATAAGTGATTAACTACATGATTGTTTAATAATAATAAAATTAAATATGTAATAAACTAAAATGAATAATAAAGTTAAACACGTAATAAAGTTAAACACGTAATATAAGTTAAACATGTAATAAAAGTTAAACACATAATAAAAGTTAAACATGTAATAAAAGAAAACATGTAATAATTGATTGACTTCACGATTGTTTAATAAAAAAATTTTTTTGATTATTTTTATTTGCATTATTTCTCCTTTTTTTATTTTTTTTTACATCATACTACAGTGTCCGACAAAAGTTTTCCCACACCTATATCTCTTCATAGAGAGGTGCTATGACCTTGAAACTTGCAGAAAAGTTATTACAAAAAAAGTTTAGATCGTGTGTGTTTTTTGAAGATTTTTTGATTACTATAAAAAAATTTAGATGAGAGCTAAAGTCGGGGCATTTTTTTTAAAAAAAATGAAAAAATTAATTGAATTTAAAGAAAATTTAATATACTGTCAGAGCTTAAAGCTAAAAATTCCAAAAAATAGTATATTAAAATTCTATGCTTTTCATAGTAGTGATAAAAAATTTGGCTCGATTTGATGAGATAGTTGTTGAAAAATTAATTTTTTATTTTTGAATTTTATTTTTAAACATCGCAAAGTAAAAGCTTATTCAAACAAACTTTTTCTTGATATATAGTGATCCAAATTTAATGATTTTGGTGTCATTCGAATCATCTCGACGAGACAATTCAAATAATATCAAAATCATTAAATTCAGACTATTAGAACACGAGATATTCGTGAAAAATGATTTGCAATACAAAAAGAATCATATATTAGCAAATCAAAAATAATAATAAAAAACTCAAAACTTTAAAAATTAATTTCTCAATAACTATCTCATCAAATCGGGTCAAATTTTTTGTCACTACTATAAAAATCATTGAATTTTAATGTATTATTTTTTAGAATTTTTAGCTTTAAGCCTTGATGATATATTAACTTTTCTTTAAATTCAATTAATTTTTTTACTTTTTTTGGACGAAAAATGTCCAAAATTTAGCTCTCATCTAAAATTTTTTCTAATAATTAAAAAATCTTTAAAAAACATATACAATCTAATCTTTTTATATACTAACATTTCTGCAAGTTTCAAAGTCGTAGCACCTCTCTATAAAGAGATATAGGTGCAGGAAAACTTTTGTGGAGCACTGTATATACATCTTAATTGTAATACAAGCAAATTTGCCTATGTTTTTATTAAAAATTTAAATTTTTTTAATAAAATCTTAAATATTGTTGCAAATTAAAATGAAACTGGAGATTTCTATTGCTTAGCTTTAAAGCTTATAAAACCCACATATACTTATTTATTAATAATTCTAACTCTAAACTCTAACTCTAATACTAAAAAAAAACCTAAAAAATATTATTAAAAAAAATTTAAATTTTTTTTAAAAAATAGAAAAATTTTATTTTAATTTAATTTTATTTTTAGCAATATATTTTCTAAATAAAATATTTAATTTTATTAATTTTATTAAAAAATTTTTTTAAGATTATTAAAAAACTTTAATATAATAAAAGTTTAAAGTTTTTGTACTAAAATTTTTACTATAAAATTTTTTCTTTGGATTTTCTTAAATTTTATGTTTTTTGCCTATAAAAAAATTTTTGCTTTTAAATAAAATTTTGATTTTTATTAGTAAATTACTAAAGTATAATAATAAAAGTTATAATCCTTTGTATTAAGGATGCTGACATTTATTATCTAATATTTTTTTACTATAGAGGCTTATTTCCACCTCCAGGTAAAAATACAATATTTAGCTAAATTTGATTGGCTATAATTGTTTTATATAACCTCCTAAAATATTACTTAATAAATGTTAGCGCTCTAACTATAATATTGTTTTAAGATATTTAAAGAGTTTGTCAAGAATTTGTAAATAATTTTTTGATTAAAATTTTTTTCTAAACTTATTTATTTTTAGCTATAAGCAACTTAAACTTTTTTTCTATTATAAAAACTAATTTTTTTTTTTTTTTTTTTTTATTTTGTCAATTTTTCTTTGTTTTTTTTTTTAT